CATTCTTTGGTTGACTCAATTACAAAATAAGTAAGAAATTAGTGAAATAACACTATTATTTATTATTTTATAGGAATATATAATAACACCTATTCATATATTTGGATAGATCTAATAGACCTAATTTATTATGAAAATTCCAATAACAGATATATCCTTTTTTAAATTTTCAGAAATATCAAACTACATGTACATATATATACTCAAATAGGTAGCTTTGGAGAAATTGACCAAATAAAAATAAATTTTACCTTATTTGCCTAACTAAATGCAATTATTTCAAGTGAATGAAAAGTTATCATTTGTCTCCAATACATGCTTATTTCAATTTAAACAGTATGTCTGAATCATGTCCAAGCTAGTCTGGATATATTATGAATATGCTTATATATTTCTCTATGTTGTACTTTGCATGCGTGCATCAATTTCATAGATCAATGCCCTTGAATGTTCCAGTCAATTACATTGTGCTGCATTAGCTAATGTTTTTGAGTCAATTCCCATCAAAGAATGTCCACCATCTTGAATAATACACGTTCCATTCATCATTGATGCATCATCTGAGGCCAAATAAACAATCAGTTTGGCGCAATCATCTGGTGTCGTAATTTTCTTTATTGGTGTAACCTTTCTGGCTAATTCAAAGGAAGCAGCTTGCTGTTCCTTGTTTTCGATAAAGCCAGCTTTAAGTCCCATGTCTGTTGTAACACCTCCTGGACAGATAGCATTCACGCGCACCCCTTCGGACCCATACTCTATACCAGCACACTGTGTAAACTGATTGAGACCTGCCTTTGCAACTCCATAGAAAGCAAAGCCAACAGCTGAGGGACGGCTACCAACATAACTTGAGACATTCACAATATTACCCAGTGATTTCTTCAACTCAGGGAAACAAAGTTGTGAGAGAAAAATTGGTGCCTTTAGTAATAAGTTTATATGCCAGTCAAAGCTTTCATCTGTGCCAGTTAAAAATGATGTTATCTCAGCCATCCCAGCATTATTCACCAGCACATCTATTTGTCCAAACTCAGCCAAGGCAGTCTCAAATATCTTCTGCACTAAATTTGAATCCTGAAAATCACCTTGTACAATTGGGAACTTGGCTCCTTCAGCACCAACTTTTTGGCATTCAGAGACAGTCTCCTCAATAGCCACCATGTCTCTCCCATGGATGAGTACATTTGCACCTTGTTTTGCAAACAACAATGCAGTTGCCTTGCCAACACCTTTGTTAGACCCAGTCACAATGATGCACTTTCCCAAGAAATTCACCATTTTCTTGTAAATGTGTGCCTTCCAATATTAAAGTCTCTTTTTGTATCTTGATCCTTATAAACACACTTTGTACTAACATATAAAACTATGCTCTGCTGTTTTTTAGTCCATATCAAAGGCAGGTTGAACTGCTGATCTATTGCCTGCATTTAAGATTTAAGGGGGTCAAAGTTTGATAAGCATTAGAATGAAGATTGGTTTCATGTTAAAGGTGGAATAGTTAGTACTTTGCTTATTGCAACAATTTCAATCTACATTTTCACAATATCTAAGTGCCACTTGGGCAAGATATTCATTTTCACATTTGTACATACCAAGGACTGTTTTATGCCTTCTTTGTAAATTATGATTACAACAACGCATTAACATGACAAAATGTAACCACCTACTTGCTAACAATATTATTAGTTCAATTTTAAGTCAGATACTGTAGATCATTTAAGGTAAAATCTCAAATCTAAAGTCAGATTTGAACTTCTGAAAACTTGTAGATGATTTTGAAAATAAAATTGGTCAATTTGAAGCAAGTTGAAAAAAGATCTTTTAGACCTTGAGAAGGTCATTGAAGGTCAAATCTATAATCAGATTTGAACTTTTGAGAACTTGTAGATGATTTTGAAATAATGTTCAATTTAAAGCAAGTTGTGGTCAAATCTTAAATCTTAAGTCAGATTTAAACTTCTTATAACTTGTAGATGTTTTTGAAAAAAATTGGTCAATTTGAAGCAAGTTAAAAAAAGACCTTTTCTACCTTTTTTAAAGTCCTCATTTACAGTTTAAACCACTTTGGCTTATTTTGTAGTCTCACCCAATGTTATCAAAGTGTGATATGTGAAACTTTTTTTTAATTTCAAAGAGGGGTTTCAGAGGACTTTTTGTTCAAGAAATCGTGAATTCATTTAAAACTAAATTTTAGAGGTCACACATATCTTTTTATAAGCCACGGTTCATATCAATGCATAGCATCCATCCACACATATCATTTTGCCGAAAAAATTAAGAAAATCATTTCATAAATAAGCGATGAGTGAAATCATCAGTGCATGAAAATGGTTCAAAGAAAAATGCTTTTCAAAATTTTAGTTCTCATAGAAATAAATGGTACAATGATATCTAAAATATAATATATTCTTCCTTTTAACCTGGTTAGACAATCAACATTGGTTTGTTATTGAAGTTTAGCATATTTAGAAAAGATATATTATTGAAGTTTAGCATATTTAGAAAAGATTGACATAGAAAATGTTTTTGCCACCTGAGTGAGTCATAATGACATCACTTAAGTTGCAAAATATTTTTGATATGCTAAAACATTGAAGTATCCCATTAAATATGGCATTTTATTATTGAAATAGTATTTCCTTTGTTCAGCCGCCATTTGAAATTCAGCCGCCATTTTGAAAATTGTTGTTGAACAGAGCTACTGTGTCCATAGGCATTAGCATATAAAATTTCAAAAAAATCCATTCACTACTATAGATTACATTTTTTAGGAAAAATGGCCGCCATTTTGATATTAAGCAGCCATTTTGAAAATCCCTTCTTCAGCATAGCTCCTTTATCCATACATAAATTTGAACCAAATCCTTTCACTAGTATTTGAGTTATCAAAGATTATGTTTTTTATGAAAAATGGTGGCCATTTTGAAATTCAGCCAACATCTTGAAAATTCTTTCTTGAACAAATCTACTTTTTCCCTAGGCATCATCATATAAAATTTGAACCAAACTGTTCACTGGTATTTGAGTTATAAAATATTACATTTTTTTTACGAAAAATTTTGAAAATCTCTTCTTCAGGTAGTTATGCTATGCTTCTTCAGCATAGCTCCTTTATCCATAGGCATATAAAATTTGAACCAAATCCTTTAACTAGTATTTGAGTTATCAAAGATTACATTTTTAATGAAAAAATGGCGGCCATTTTAAAATTCAGCCGCCATCTTGAAAATTCTTTCTTGAACAAATCTACTTTGTCCCTAGACATCATCATATAAAATTTGAACCAAATCCATTCACTGGAATTTGAGTTTTTTACAAAAAAATGGCTGCCATTTTGAAATTCCACAGCCATCTTGAAAATCTCTTCTTTGTCCCTAGGCATCAGCGTATAAAATTTGAACCAAATCTTTTACGAAAAATGGAGGCCATTTTGAATTTAGCAGCCATATTGAAAATTCCTTCGAGCAGAGGTTGCAGCCATATTGAAAATTCCTTCTCAAGCAGAGGTTCTCTTGCCATTAAAGGCATAAGCCTATAAAATTTGAATCAAATTCGTCAACCGGTATTTGAGTTATTGCCCGGACAAACGGAGGGACAGACAGATGGACCAACAGACGGCTTTCCTATATCCTCCTCAAACTTCGTTCGGTTGGATAAAGATAATCTTTGTTGAAATGTATGAAGAAATATTTGACAATTAAAAAATTTCAACTTTTTTAATAGAATGGCGGGAAATTTGAATATTTGAGAAATGAAATCCTCAATTTTTTTTCAAATTTTTTTTTTCAAAAATAACTTTTAAAGTCATGACTAATATTAAATGAATGATAACATTTTTTTTAAACTTTACATGGGGACTTTAACCTTTTTTGACCTTGAAAAAGTCATTCAACGTCAAATCTTGAATGTTAAGTCAGATTTGAACTTTTGAAAACTTGTAGATGATTTAGAAAAAAATTGAAGTCAGTCTAAACAGTATTTGTTAGTTATTGGAAGTTTTTAGAATTTGTTAATGTAAGGAAAGTTTGGATTAGACATTATGAAATTCATTAAGCAGAACTTCTGTAGCAATACTGCAAATGCCAATAAAATATGAACAAAATCAATATTTATATATTTGAGTATGTTGACTTTTGGACTCAATCTTTAAACAAAAAGTCCTTTAAAATCACTTTTTGAAAGAAAAAGTTTAGCATATCACATTTTGACAACATTGGGCAAAACTACAATATAAGCCAAAGTGGTTTAAACTTTATGTGGGCCTTTAATACACAGAGGCGTTCATTAAGTGAGCATGGTAGAAAAGAAGTTGAAGGCATTATTTGTAGAAAAATGATTTGAACATTTATCCTATACTGAGAACATATAAGTTGTTCAAGAAAGATTTTAGAATTGAATTATATTTGAAATAAGATAATAAAAAGTATAGGTTGGTGATAAGTAGATTTTGAATGAGTTCCCATCGATTGGCGATTGAGACTGGAAGACATGCAAAGCCAAAACCTAGAGAGGAAAGATTATGCAATACCTGTAAACATAGAGAGGATGAGTGTCATTTCCTTTTACTTGTACAAATAATGATGAGCATAGACTTTGACCTCAATAGTGAAGATTTATTTGTCAATCTCATTTCAAGTAAAAATCTAACACTACAAACACACATTGGAAAATTCATTTATCATTCATTTAAGATTTTACAGTCAGAAAGCAGGGTATGTGCACCACACTTTAAATGTAACCTTGTCCTTTCATCATGATATATACTACCTTTTATTTCTGTTTTTTTGTATATCTCGTATATATTTTTTGTACTTTTGCTTTAGTTAGTATTTGTAGTTTAGATATTTAGTTTTTCATAGTTATGACTAATGTAATCATGTTAAGACACAAGATGTCAATAAAAGTTATATATATATACCCTCGTAACCTTGGTTTACAAGTGGCAATCAACACACTGTAGTTATTTTATAAGAAAGCAATATAATGAATATTTTACATACTTTGAGAATACTTTCTTGTGTGACCCTGTTACTGCCATGCAAGTTCAATCTGCAATTTAAAAGATATTCATTTTCAAGGTCTTGAAAACATTTAACATAAGAGCACTAGGAAATCTATGCTGGAAGTTTATTCCTATAAATTAACATTTTACCTTTATCAAAGATCAGTGAACCACTTTTTACCATGTTAGAGTCACGGACTAAAATTTCAAATTGTGACCATACCATTGAGGATTTGCATCAATAACTGTACTCACCTTGTTAGATTGGGACAATATTTGGCTATTGCACATAGACTGTCATCATTCATTATATCTAGTATGTCAAGAGACTCCTGGAAACAGATACAGTTTGAAAACTACATCTAAATGCACACTTGAAATATTTCTAATCCATTTATTTTTATTTGCATTTTAATGCATATAGTGGCTGTTCTTGGTGACCCAGGATGAGGTGATCTGGATCAAGGTCAATGTTAGGTCAAAAGTCAATATCTATGTATTTGGTGATTTAAGGTACTTGAAGCTGCCATTACCCTTGGTGACCAAAGATTAGATGACCTGAGGTCAAGGTCAATGTTTGTGGGCCAAGACCATCTCAAGGTCAATATCTAGGTAGTTGGCATTTTAAAGTCCATGGGGCTGCTGTCACCTTTTGGTGACCTGAGGTCAAGATCAAAGCTATATTGGTCAAGGTCATCTCGAGGTCAGGTCAAAGGTAAATATCTAAGTGATTGGCATTTTAAGGCACTTGAAGGATACTGTGTTTCAAGATAAGGTGATCCGAGGTCAAAATCAATGTTTATGGACCAAGGTCATCTCAAGGTCAAATGTGAATATCTAGGTATTTGGTGTTTCAAGGCCTTTGGACAAGTTTACCTCAATTCAAAAATCATTTTCAGTCAAACGATCAATAAACAGGTATATAGCATTTTATGTGGGCTGCTGTCATGTGGAGGCTTCTTTGAACTTTTGTGACCTACCTGAACGGGTAAATTGTTAGTTAAAAGTAAATGCGGAGATATCAAGACAAATAATAACAAGGCATTAACATGACAAAATGTCACCACCTAAAACAATTTGGTCAATTTAAAGCAAGTTGAAAAAATACCTCTTTGACTTTTTTTGACATTGAGAAGGTCATTGAAGGTCAAATGTCAAATGTAAAGTCAGATTTGAACTTCTGAGAACATGTAGATGATTTTGAAAAAAAAATTAAGTAAATTTGAAGCAAGTTGAAAAAAGACCTTTTTGACCTTGAAAAGGTCATTGAGGGTCAAATGTCAAACCTAAAGTCAGATTTGAACTTCTGAGAACATGTAGATGATTTTGAAAAAAAAATTAAGTAAATCTGAAGCAAGTTGAAAAAAGACCTTTTTGACCTTGAAGGTCAAAGGTCAAATCTAAAGTCAGATTTGAACTTCTGAGAACTTGTAAAGTCAAATTTGAACTTCTGAAAAGATGTAGATGATTTTGAAAAAAAATTTGGTCAATTTGAAGCAAGTTGAAAACAGACCTTTTTGACCTTTTTTGACCTTGAGAAGGTCATTAAAGGTGAAATGTCAAATCTAAAGACAGATTTGAATTTCTGAGAACATGTAGATGATTTTGAAAAAAAAAATTAGTCAATTTGAAGCAAGTTGAAAAAATACCTTTTTGACCTTTTTTGACCTTGAGAAGGTCATTGAAGGTCAAATGTCAAATCTAAAGTCAAATCTTAAGTCATATTTGAATTTCTGAGAACATGCAGATGGTTTTGAAAGATAAATTTAGCCAATTTGAAGCAAGATGAAAAAATACCTTTTTGACCTTTTTTGACATTGAGAAGGTCATTGAAGGTCAAATGTCAAATCTAAAGTCAGATTTGAATTTCTGATAACATGTAGATGATTTTGAAAAAAAAATTTAGTCAATTTGAAGCAAGTTGAAAAAAGACCTTTTTGACCTTTTTTGACTTTGAGAAGGTCATTGAAGGTCAAATGTCAAATCTTAAGTCAAATCTAAAGTCAGATTTGAATTTCTGAGAACACGTAGATGATTTTGAAAAATTTTTTTAGTCAATTTGAAGCAAGTTGAAAACAGACCTTTTTGACTTTTGACCTTGAGAAGGTCATTGAAGGTCAAATGTCAAATCTTAAGTCAAATCTTAAGTCAGATTTGAATTTCTGAGAACACGTAGATGATTTTGAAAAAATATTTTAGTCAATTTGAAGCAAGTTGAAAACAGACCTTTTTGACCTTGAGAAGGTCATTGAAGGTCAAATGTCAAATCTAAAGTCAGATTTGAAGGTCAAATGTCAAATCTAAAGTCAGATTTGAATTTCTGAGAACATGTAGATGATTTTGAAAAAAAATTTAGTCAATGTGAAGCAAGTTGAAAAAAGACCTTTTTGACCTTGAGAAGGTCATTGAAGGTCAAATGTCAAATCTAAAGTCAGATTTGAACTTCTGAGAACATGTAGATGATTTAGAAAAAAATTGAAGTCAATCTAAACAGTATTTGTTATGTTATAGGAAGTTGTAAGAAATTGTTACAGACGCCGGACGCCAACCGCCGGATGCCAACCACCAACCGCCGGACGCCAACCGCCGTCGCAAAAAAACGGAGACCATAACAATATGTCACCACTTTTGGTGGTGACATAATAAAAAACGGAGACCATAACAATATGTCACCACTTTTGGTGGTGACATAATAATCAAACCAGGACTTAATTGTGATGATAGATGATAATAAGTTCAGAATAGCCAGTCTTAAGAGAACACTTTTTCAGTGAATTCGACCAGCTTGATCAATGAAGAAATGGAATATTAGATATGTATTTCAATGTACTTACCAGGTTTTCATTTAAAGCCTCAGCTACTATGGAGAATACAGAAAGAGTAAGCTTGGGACACTCTGCCAGGTTGATAACTTTAATACTGGGATTGTTAATAACTGCCATCTTTACACCTGAAATAAATTCATTTTCATATTGAAGAATAATTTTACACCAAAATAATAGTCTTGAATCAGGTCCTTGTGTACCCTCTCCTGTCAGACATTCCCCTCTAACAATCAAAATAGATGAGGAACCTGTGACTTGATGTGAGAGTTTCATGATGACTTACTGGCCAGTTCACTGTTACCTTGACAGGGATCCTCGGCGCTCATGTGGTATCCTTTTTAAAATGGGTTAAATTTGCAATTAAAAATCCCGTTCAGGACCATTATAATGGTTCACAAATCCAGAATGGTCAAATCTTCCCACTTTCTGGTATATGAGAATGATCATAGAAGCTACATTACCTCACACCAGTGGTATGACATTGGTCCATTAGTTAATTAATGACCTTGTTTTTGATCATTTCCACAAAGATCTACCTTATCCAACTTTTGAATGACCTTTTTCCCAGGAGTTAGACACTTGGCATGACAGTCACTGTAATGGATGACTATTTGGACATTTGGTATGTCCTTTGGGTGCCATATTTACATGAAACTTCCAATTACATTACAAATCAAATGGTATGGGAACACATTGATGTTTTTGGGTATATGCATAGGGATGAGTCTCACAAACAGTCAATCTTTCCAATAAATGAATAGTACATTTTGCATAAATATCTTATTACAGTGCTAAAGCATTGACTTGCATAATATGTTTTTATACATTTCAAGAAAACAAAATTAATAAATTTCCAATTTGAGTCTATGGTACATGAATTAAAGAAGCAATTATACAGACAGAATAAATTAATTGATATAATATACTTGTACATACGGATAACACATACCTTCTGTAGTTATATTACTACATCCTCTCAAATCAAGTTCTATTAAGTTGGGAGATTTAAGTTGAGTAAATGCTTTATTGGAGATGTTCACTAGCTTCTTTAGATGAACTTCTTCTAGGTCAACCTGTTCAGTGGTTACATGCATTATACCAGCATCTGGAGAAACGTAGTAAATTGTATTTCAAAGATATTTGAATAAATGTTCAAAATTGAAACAAAATGATGATTTGTGGTGTTACCAAGAATTATGCTACAATTTTATAGTTAGTTTAGTTTTTCTTTATTTATTTATTTATAGTGGTCAATCTTACAATTCAATAAAATAATGCATGCAGTACATGTACGAGAAGTACATGTAAGTCAGTAGATCAACTCAGCATTTCATAAAATTCTGAGTCATAAATTCACAATATTCATGCAATGATTAACTTCAAACTAGGAATACTATCTTGTCTTGAATAAGTTTAAAGATTCAGAAAAATTACAAGAACACAAATGTGTACAATATGTCCCCACCAATGGGTGATCCCGTCTTATGGTTATCCTGAAAATGAGTAGACAAGACTTTACTGTTACAATTTTGGAACGGAAAATGCAAAATGGCCACCTTAAAATTTACCAAGAATGCCCAGAAAATTAGTCAGCTGTAGATTTTCATACTAAGAACCATCCCTGAAAATTTGAAATTGATCCGTCAAACAGTAAACCAGAAAACGCGTAAACAAGACTTAACAGACAAGATTTTAGGACCGAAAATCCAAAATGGCTGCCTCAACACTTACGCAGAATGCAAATAAACTATTCTGATGTAGATTTTCATACTAAGAACCATCCCTGAAAATTTGAAATTGATCCGTCAAACAGTAAACCAGAAAACGCGTAAACAAGACTTTACAGACAAGATTTTAGGATGGAAAATCCAAAATGGCTGCCTTGACATTTGCTCAGAATGCCTAAAAACTAATCAGTTCTAGATTTTCATACAAAGAATCATCCCAAAAAATTTGAAATTGATCTACCAAACAGTTCACCTGAAAACACGTAGACAAGACTTTACAGGCAAGATTTTAGCACGGAAAATCCAAAATGGCTGCCTTGACATTTACCCAGAATGCCAAAAAACTAATCAGATCTAGATTTTCATACTAAGAATCATCCCTGAAAATTTGAAATTGATCCGTCAAACAGTAAACCAGAAAACGCGTAAACAAGACTTTACAGACAAGATTTTAGGATGGAAAATCCAAAATGGCTGCCTTGACATTTGCTCAGAATGCCTAAAAACTAATCAGTTCTAGATTTTCATACTAAGAATCATCCCTAAAAATTTGAAATTGATCTACCAAACAGTTCACCTGAAAACACGTAGACAAGACTTTACAGGCAAGATTTTAGCACGGAAAATCCAAAATGGCTGCCTTGACATTTACCCAGAATGCCAAAAAACTAATCAGATCTAGATTTTCATACTAAGAATCATCCCTAAAAATTTGAAATTGATCTACCAAACCGTTCACCTGAAAACGCGTAGACAAGACTTTACAGACAAGATTTTAGGACGGAAAATCCAAAATGGCTGCCTTGACATTTACCCAGAATGCCAAAAAACTAATCAGATCTAGATTTCCATACTAAGAATCATCCCTGTAAATTTGAAATTGATCTACCAAATGGTTCACCTGAAAACGCGTAGACAAGACTTTACTGACAAGATTTTAGGACGGAAAATCCAAAATGGCTACCTTTATATTTACCCAGAATGCCAAAAAACTTATAACATCTAGATTTTCATACTAAGAATCATCTCTGAAAATTTGAAATTGATCTACCAAACGCTTCACCTGGAAATGCATAGACAAGACTTCACAGACAAGATTTTAGGACGGAAAATCCAAAATGGCTGCCTTGACATTTACCCAGAATGCCAAAAAACTAATCAGATCTAGATTTTCATACTCAGAATCATCCCTGAAAATTTGAAATTGATTTCCCAAATGGTTCACCTGAAAACACGTAGACAAGACTTTACTGACAAGATTTTAGGACGGAAAATCAAAAATGGCTGCCTTTACATTTACCCAGAATGCCAAAAAACTTATAAGATCTAGATTTTCATACTAAGAATCATCCCTGAAAATTTGAAATTGATCTACCAAACGCTTCACCTGGAAATGCATAGACAAGACTTCACAGACAAGATTTTAGGACGGAAAATCCAAAATGGCTGCCTTGACATTTACCCAGAATGCCAAAAAACTAATCAGATCTAGATTTTCATACTAAGAAACATCCCTGAAAATTTGAAAATGATCTACCAAATGGTTCGCCTGAAAACGCATAGACAAGACTTTACAGACAAGATTTTAGGATGGAAAAATCCAAAATGGCCGACAATAAAAAGTGATTATAAGTTTTTGCTGATTTCTTTTTACAAAATTAGCACATATAACTACTGTTAACAATAACATAGGCTTTTACAATAAAGTACACCTGAAATTTTTATATAAAGCTACTAAATAGTCTAAGTATGAAAACTCAAAAACACCATTCAATATGCTACAAAGTATTATCGCACGCTAACTTTTCTTAAGACATTCAAAATGGCTGCCATGACTGGGCTAACAGGTCCAAAACCTAATCAGATCTAGAATCAAGTGAGCTGAACAGGATATTAAAGTTTTAAAAGCAACAGTGAAGCCATTTTTCTTAAAGTTTGCAGACAAGGATTTTAGCATTTGACTTCAAAATGGCCGACAGGAAGTAGGTATCGAGTTGAAACTTTTTCGTCCACATCTGTATGCACTCATAAGTTATCCCTGAAAATTTGAAGGTGATATCTGTAGCGGTTTAGGAGAAAACTCGGACAGACAGACAAACAGACAGACGGACACGCCTAGGCCGACAATATGGCCCCACACTATGTGGTGGGGACATAAAAAAGGCTCTTAAGTATTGCTTTAAATATACTCAGCAGTCCTCATCATTCACTATTTTAATCTCTGTAAAATTTATTTTGTACTTACCAGTTACGTTTTCACAACCATGAATTGTAATACTGTGTAACATACAGCCGCTGTCATACAGTGCTTTTAATACATGATCAGTAATTTGAGAACATTTGTAAAATTTAATATTCCGTAAAGTTTGTGAGAAGAGATTATAAGTCACTGTAGGTAAGTATTCCAAAGTTAACATATCATGATTGGCGAGTCTCTCTATTAGAAGCTCCTTGTGTACAGTAGGAATATAACTGCCAACTCTGTTAATTCTGTGTAGATTGCCACCTATGCAACCAATACACATATCTTGTAAAGTCTTCACCATTTTGTTTAATTGCCACTTCAAGTACCTGTAGATCTTGCTATCCTTTGAGAGCTATTCTGTGATACTGCATGTATAATACCTGGGCATTTGAATGAATGCTGCTTACATTGTAGTAGTTGACGGAAGTCTTCTAATGTGATTCTAATACGATTCTTGTAAATCCTATTGGTTTATAAAGACTGACTGGAAGTAAAATTTATAAATTATTCAATAAAGTTACTCAATATGCATAATCATAAAGTTTATTTAAGGGAGAAATCCAAGATCCAAATCAGCCATTTGTTTCAAAACAGAAAAAGATAGCCCCAACTGACTGAAATCGCCAGTATATGCCCTTAAACACTGTAGTATTGGCCTAAATATTATAAGATCGATGTTTTACCTGTAGTTTCAATTTCAATCCTGGTCCTTAGGTGCCTACATTGGGATTATAACTCAAAATTTTAGTTTATAGATATCATATTATATAAGTTACTCAGCATATACCTATTGCATATCCTCAAGATTAATGATTTCAGATTGTCGATTCATAAACTATATGTCTATAAATCTATTAGTAGAAATGGTTACATGTTTTTATAGAAACTAAGTCTATTAAAACGATGTCTATTAATAACATTACAAGTAATAGGTCTATAAATAGATATGATTGATCCATTAGATATTCTAGATCAGCGAATCAAAGACTTTCTGTTTGACCCCCTCTGTCACTTCCAAAAGAAAGTTCAAAACAAGCGGGTTTGGGGATCCCAATGATTCAATGGTGATTGATTAAAAATCAGAAAAATCTGCCAAATTTATGACGCATGACCAGTTGCAGCAGTCCCTTCTTACTCAAAATATTAGATGGGTATTTAAGGTCAGAGTGCGCTTTGATGAAATTTCCAAAGTAGTGCACTCTGACCTTAAGCCCCTTTGAAAAACAGTGTGTTCTGAAACTGAATACTACTGATTGATACTGCCCTGTCAACCCTCACGCATTAGGTGTGATTGTCACGCATTTGCTGGAAAAATAGAAATCACATATCAATTTAGCGTGTATGATCAAATATCACGCAAATCACGCATTTTGTTGACATTTTTAAAAATCTTTTTTTGTCAAATGCCGATACGGTAAAATACCGAACGGCGAAAAAAAGCGAACGCATTCAGTGAACGCATTCCGTTCGGTCTTTGCACGTGATTGCCGTTTATGTCACGCATTTGGTACAAAATATGTGTATATATCACGCATTTATTTCGAAAATATTTACACCTACACCTCCCCCCCCCTGTTGATGGATTTGAACATCGAGCGTAAGCGAGCTGGAAAAATTTTAGGTGTCCAAAATCTGCCAATGTTCACTGAAGCTGTCCAAAGTTTGAAGGAAAGTGTTCAACATTTGGAACTCACACATGTTAGATGGTCCCAAGTTGACAGCCCTGGTGATAGATAGACTATCTGTCACACACAGGTCCAGGAATAAGAGCCATTTCATGGATGGGCTTTCAACTAGACTCAACTCTAATTGAAAGCTCATGCCCACTTGCTTCGATCTGTGGGAGTAAATAATATCAACCAATGATTTAGAGCTATAAAGTACACCAATCTTAATCTAATTACAATCATAATGATTCATTCCATAGGAACTCACAAGTCTGGCCGACTTGGATCTAAAATTATCTGGAATTAATGAATGATTTGAGAGTACAATTTGAGCTCGATGTGATCGATAAAGTTATCTAACAGACAATAACATAAAATTTGAAGTTACTTACTTCTAATTTATCATATAATAACCTCTTATTGGACTCATATTCACTAATATTTGGAATAATCAAATTAATTTGTAAAAACTTGAAACCGGAAATCACTCCTTACACTGAACGAAATTACTGAATTTGGACGAAATAGTCTTGCATGATAAAAACCCGGGTTGATAAAGAGGTTGGCATAGGACTAAACATTGGTCGATATTTTACTAAGGCAGATCATGAGATGTTTATTTTCTCACTTGACAGAGGGTTCATATTAGGCCAGTCATGGCCAGTAGGTAGGTTGTGTTTGTAAGTACATCATCAACCCAAAACTCAAACAAACTCAGGTTTCATACAACCATCAACTAGAACCATAGTGAACACCATCCATTCACACAGGTGGCCCGCCCCCCCCCCCTTGGGTGGGCCCAGAAAATTTTTAATTTCAGGCCAAATTTTGAGGAAATGGGCCTCAAAATTTCAACATTTGGGCCCACTTTTGGGTTTAAGGGTCAACATTTTTTTCCCCGCAAGCGGGTAATTTATTTCTCTGACCTTGTTGGTTCCCAGATCCACCCCTGATTCAGGGACTCTAATAGATGGACACAAAGGATGGGTATCAATATGGCGAACTTTTTAAACACATGTGTCTCTTAAACTTTAAAAAACTCTTAAAATTTTACACATTGTCAATTTAATGGTCATCTTTTGAATGGTAACAATATAATTGGAAATATATATATATATTTTCATCTATATTGTTTTAGAAAACACATCAAACACTTGTTTTGTTCTTCGTATCATGTTTCCAGAGTGAAATGAAACGTCTTTCCAAACCTCATTGGAACAAAACGACATAAACACAACATGTATAGGTCTCTCAATATTGTAATTTTTCAAAGGAAATTTTAGTTGATTTTAAAAAAAGTATCTTGTTAATGAAATAAAAGGTTTATCTTGATTTTTATCTATTTTGGAGGGATTTTGTTTTAATTTTTTGAATACTTTTTTTAAAATGTTAACAAAAACAGTTGTATAAGATATTTCTAAATAATTTTTGCATTAAATTGTCAATCAGTCATCATTACATAAAATACCGTGTTTTTTTACAGAATGTTTTCAATGATTGGTTTAAGAGAAAAACATTTTTTGAATTCAGTTCTCCAAATCGATACCACTCCTTTGAGCATCAATCTGACTGACAAGGGTCTTGACAAAAATAGACAATTCATTCTGAATGTAAATGGATGCAAGTTTCTATTCACTAATAAAAGAACCATATACTTCATATTTCATAATTTATATTATATATTTCTACCAATATTATACAGCTTTGTACAAATAACATTCATAAATAGGTCATTGCAATACTTCTATAATATACACTTATTTACAAATGTTCTATTACATTTGACTGGTCAGTAATTCAAAAACTGTATTAAAAAATTACTGTATTATGATATTTGCTTAAGAAGCTCTGATACAACAGAATTTGCCGAGTAAAATTCGACATTCCTTAAACTATTTATGCAATCTATAAACTCACAATTCAAACCATCAATACTTTTGATAGCCTGTACAATATGTTTTTACAATTGAATATCAAATAATATGAATATACAGAGGGTTTTTGAGTATAAGAATAAGAAACACATAAGAATCCATCAAAATCCTTTTCAATAAGAATTTTTTTACATCTGCTGACACTATATAAACTATAAAGATGGTTTAAAATGTTTTACATGTGCTGACATTATATAAACTATAAAGATGGTTTAAAACTATAGTGGAAGTTTAAAAAGATTTTCAAATGATACAATGATTGTTAGCCAGTTATATGCTAATTCCATCCTCATTAAAATTAGGGACAATAAAAATCCCTCCAATAAGATTTATGCCTTTTGAGGACTCGTAAAATGGAGGATAACATGCACAAAAAATAGTTGACACAATATATGCCACAGAGGGTATTTTGTTTTACAAATATTAAAAAATGAATCCAAACATATTATGCTCCCTTTATAGAATCATGTGACAATCATGTGTGCGATGGAAACTACCGGAGAATATATAAATTTCTTGATATATTATGACTCTGCATTGATTGTTACCAAGCAAACACAAGGGCTGAACTTGCACTGTATAAATGAATTATCAAATCAATGTCAAAAATCATTGTTAAAAATCATGGCAAGCGTACATGAGAAACTCTTTGAAGATGGTACCACAGTACTTTTCCCTGCATAATAATGTGCTCATATAAATAAGTTTGAATATCAAATTTATCCTTACATGCATTTTTATTTAGCATCTTCCTACATGTTATTGAACACAACTTTAACCCACTAAAATGAGACAATATGACAATTTGAGTCATGAAGGCCATTTCTGGAGTAGCCTCAAATGACAATGAGAAACATTACATCATGTCACATTTAATTAAATAAATAAAATCAAAAGATGTGGTTTGTTGGATACTAAGATGTTCTTGCTAGAAACTCATTCCCTCAACCAGTGCAGACACAAAAAATAATATACTGTATCTACAAAAATTGTTTTGTTTGCCATCTACCAATTTGCTTTACTCCAAGTAAACATATTAATAAAAGTAATTAGCAACAAGAAATATAAGTTTCTATTCCAGAGATTATTATAGGTATTATAGTTTAATTGAAGCAGGATTTCATATATGTGACAAGTTGTAGCATTGTATAAATCAAGTATTATAAGTGTAAATACAACTAATGTAGTTGTATGCCATTTCCTCGTTTTGATCACAAAATGAATATAAAACTGTTTGCATTGAAATGTGATCTTTAAGTACAAAACAGAAATATCTAAAATATAAATGATTACAATAACTTGCCCAATGAGCTAAAACTACTTGACCAATATAAAGCTGACTGGATTACTATTACCAATTTCTATCAAAATATTGCAGCTTTGGAAAATACAAAGATTGCACTGGTTCACCTACATGATCCTTTAACACTTTTGATTTTCATCATGTGCATGAACTACCATAAACAACTTGTCCCACATCATTTCTAAATGTCTTTTGTTTTAACAATATCAATTGATGAACAAATAACGAGAGGAGAATATCTGGTCTAGAACTATCACTCAACGCCACTACAAGTAGAATGTACATGCAAAGTATGTATTTTGTCTTTCAACTTTGTGCATTTTTAATAGGAGAAAATATAAACATGCAATCTCGAAGAGGATATAGCATCTAAGCTTGCTTGGTGCATGAACACTTTAAGACATTCCCTATAAGGAAGTGAAATTAAATTTGCTGAGATATTTGATTAATATATGTATAAGCATCAGTAATTGTACAGTAATTGTCAGATACATGTCATTTCAATGTATTTATTATGTATTTATTAAAATTGCAAATTATACTAAGAAACAACTTCATGGATTTCAAATTACAATCCCAAGATATAAATTCCGCATTAAGAATATATATGACAAACGAGATTCCATTTATGCAATTGATAAATGTAAAACAATATGTAGAAAATGTACATAGAAAATACTAAGGAAACAAATACTAGATTAAATACCTTTATAAAAATGGATAGTCATTTACCATAGTTGCGACTTAAAAACTATGAAAATGCCTCTGGATTTCTAACTAAAGATTAAACATTATGGATTATAACCATGGCGGAATAGGGGTTGAAGGGTATAGAGATAGAATGTGAAGGGAACTAGTAGGATAGAGGATGAAGTGGGCTAGGTAGGGGCAGATGGGCTAGGGAATTGACGTTTGGGAGACAATGTGTCTCTTGGTTTCGATGATGGTGCTGCAAAGTCACGCAAAAACTCTTCCCGAAGTTGTCTACTTAAGCTAGGGGACCTAGGAGTTTTATCTAAAATAGTTGGGGACCGGGTGCTCTTTTCTTGGACACTAGACTGGGGATTAGTAGACCTTAAAGGACTTGCTGATCTCATTGGACTTCCTGATCTAATTGGTATTGATGATTTTAGAGGACTCGCTGTTCGTATCGGACTTTCAGATCTAAGAGAACTTGCTGTTCGGATAGGACTTGATGTTCTTTGGTTTAAAATATTTGGGAATTGTTCTGCTTTCTTATTCGGACTCCGTGACCTCATTGGACTAGCAGACCTGGGTTTAGCAGCTGTCTGCTGAGAGGAAAGCTTTATTGCATTGTGTGTTTTCAACTCTAGTCCAAGTCTATTAGGACTTGAAGGCCCAGTAGCTCTTTCAAGTCTAGATTCTAGAAACTTCCGACCTGGACTAGATGACCTTGGAGTGCCAGAAACTTTGATGTCTAGAAGTTTCATTTCAGGGGGTATCTCTTTGCTTGGGCTGGTTTCCTTAGAGGTTTGAGATTCAGTTCTATTGGACTGTCCATCTTTATCATTGTCAATTGTGTCACCTGATATGTTTATTGTTGTCTTTTCTGCTGAATGAACTTTGGGGCTTACAGTTGCATCTGTGAGATTCACAGTTTTACTTTCCTGGGCTGGACTTGTCCTTCTAGCAATATCAAACTTTTTAAGGCGCTGTTGAATTAAATGGGCTTCACCCCTACTGTTTAGACTACTGGAATTGCTGTTACTGGAAAAAACGAAGGTGTTTTATTCAAAATTGAAATGATTGCTAAATATTAGAAACTGTAAAATAGAAAAGTGTGGAAACTTAACACAAACATACATGTATATAGATATGAACAATCACTTATAACAATTACAGTTAAATGAAAGCATAATATGAGATAAATAATATTCAAAGCAGTAACATCCTCCTAAGCAGATGTCCAGAATCCGCACCTCCTTCTTTCCCCCTGCTATAACCAATTTGGAAGCGGCCGATAAAACTGAATCATGTGATCTAATTATGCGCCAATGACATATACATGATTGCTATCGCAATGTTGCAACAGTGAATCAAATTGCGAGTTCTTAATCGGGGAAATGCTAACTGCTTATAGCAGGGGGTAAAAAGAAAGAAGTATTCTGGATTTTGAAGCCCTGTAATCGAAGGATGATCAGTAAGGAATGGAAAGGAGTTGTAAAACAAATATTTTCAAATAGCTCGTATGACACTTTAACAAAAAATTATGCTTTCATTTTAACTTCTTGCACAGTACACACTACATACAAATAACTATCACAACATTTCATAAGTTAAAATAAATATTTCTTTACATGTTATATAATTTTAAATGATTAGTAAATCTAAGGAAAATAAATTCATCAATTCATCAAATCAACATCAAAATCTAGTAAAACACAAGACAGAAAAAACAAAGCAAACTTTAATAAGCGATAAACATCCATCCATAAATGGTTATTGAACAACAAACAGTTTGGATAATATTTAGTTTTATGAAATTTTAAATCTATATTTCTATTCTATTCACATTCGCATAATGAGATTGGAGGGGAGTTAGTGTCAACAAAATTGTCAACATTTCTAAAATGTTCCCTCTAATAAATGTTGAAGTCCTTTAGTGAATAATATTGGACTGGGTATTTCTAAATTATATTTTGTAAATGTTCTGGGTAAATTGTATTAAGCTACATATACAGAAATAGAATAAAAATGTTTATCCCATACATGTACTTGGACGTGTTACAGGTACATAAAGCCGGTTTGTAAACACATATATTTTCATCAGCGGGCAGATATAGCTTTGTGTCCCGCTCCGAGCGGGCAGATATAGAGGACCTACAGCCTTCGAGCAGATATATTATATTGGCCTCAGGATAATCCAAATATCCTGAACCTTATATAGGATAATTTCTATACATGCTTAAGTGAATTTTATGCAAAATGTGAATAATGAAGTTATATAGATTTAGGACAAATATATTTAAGTTGTTATCTGTATCATCATATATACCATATGTTTTTCACACAAGTCATAAACCGTGCTCCACCAAAAGTATAGTCACCCCAGTGATCAAGAAAACACCTAATTAAGGCAAAGAATATTATGAAGCTGGTACAAGTTGGAAACACTCGTTACTCATCTTTTCTCAATCAAATTAATGCAGATATAGAATCATCATTAAATTTTACAAAGACCAATGAGAGATTGAGTGTTTGAATTGATTCCCAAGTGAAGTTGGAGAAATGTGAGGAATAAATGCACCTATGGTGTAATACAAAGTACATAATAAAAAATTACATGTATGTCTTAACATAACGATTATGGATACAAGGCATTAACATGACAAAATGTCACCACCTAGTTGCTCACAATATTATGAGTTCAATCTTAAGTCAGATTTGAATTTCTGAGAACTTGTAGATGATTTTGAAAAAATATTGGTCAATTTGAAGCACATTGAAAAATTACCTTTTTGACTTTGAAAAGGTCATGAAGGTCAAATCTATAGTCAGATTTAAACTTTTGAGAACTTGTAGGTGATTTTGAAATAATGGACAATTTGAAGCAAGTTGAAAAAATAACTATTTGGCCTTGAGAAGGTCATTGAAGGTTACAATCTAAAGTCAGATTTAAACTTCTGATAACTTCCAGATAATTTGAAAAAAATGGTGAATTTTTAGTTGAAAAAATACCCTTTTTACCTTGAGAAGGTCATTGAAGGTCAAATCTATAGTCAGATTTGAACTTTTGAGAACTCGTAGATGACTTTGAAAAAATGGTCAATTTGAAGCAAGTTGAAAAAAGAACTTTTTGACCTTTTTTGACCTTGAGAAGGTCATTGAAGGTGACAATCTAAAGTCAAATTTGAACTTCTGATAACTTGTAGATAATTTTGAAAAAAAATTGGTCAATTTGAAGCAAGTTGAAAAAAGACCTTTTTGACCTGAAGTCAGATTTGAATTTGAAAACTTGTTGATGATTTTGAAAAAACTGAAGTCAGTCTAAACAGTATTTGTTAAGTAATTGGCAGTTGTAAGAATTTGTTACAGATGCCAACCGCCAATCGTCAACCACCAACTACTGTCACAAAAAACGGAAACCATAACAATATGTCACCACTTTTTGGTGGTGACATAATAAGCTGCATTTGCAAATGACTTTGAAAAGTTTCGTTTCAAAAATAATATCTGCTTTATCTGAGTGTCCAAATATATCCATGAGTGTGTCTGTAACTCCCTGAATTAAGATGCTGTAAATTAGTATCAATTGGTTAGGGATGAAAGAAAGTAGGTGATGTTCAATGATATATCTTGGTGAATATCTTCACAAATGTTGTATGATTTAAAGATGCAAGAATACAAGATCATGTGTTAATTGTCACTGTCATAAAGACACTGCTACAAAGAAACGTGCCTAAGAAACATCTAGAAAACTGGACGATAATATCAATGCAACAAAATGTTTCAGTCAATAAATTATTTGCATCTAACATAACAATGCTTGAGAATCCTGAATTATTATCATAATTGCTTGTCATGACAAGAATGTACAGTGCTAAACATGAATGAATATTATGTTGCAAAGATGACTACAAATTAGAGTTATGAGAAAACTTCTAAGAACTGCTTGGGAACATAGTAGATCACCTCAACTTCAGCTTGGGTTACATTGGGGTCTGGCTCAGTGCTGTAATAGACCAGACATTACAATACACATAAACTAAAGTACATACTAACTACTGACACATATACGGATGGTAATAAAGTCTTAAAGTGGCAATGTTTGATTCCTATGCGATTTGTTACTATTGACTATGTTAAATTGAAGACACATGAACTGATTGAGAAAATTGCATGTACATTATAGGCATGTCATCATAAATATCTTTTTCACTTCTCCATAGATGTCACCTTGAGCGTACACATAATACATAGTACACATTATTTAAACTTTGAAGTGTTAACATGTTTCATTCCATCGAACTGTTGAATAAATGATATTGGTTAACACAGGTGTTCTTTTGATTGCAGAAGCCAGCATTACACTACAGTATTTGAAAAGCCACAAATGAAATTTCTTTTTTTTTCTAATACAATCTATTTAAGATGAATTAAAATTATTTTCAATGCACACCTTATTATTTTTTCTGGTGATAGGTCAGCCTCATTTGATTGATCACCAGAAGGAGCAACACTTGCGTTGGTCTTGCGTTTGTCCAAACCTCTCATCTGTATATCTAATTCATTGCTGCCATGGAAACTGGAGAGATAGCGCTCTTTCTCTACAATACATAATAAATATAAGTTTGGTGACATTGAGACAACCCATGTTGAATTTCATTATTTGTCTGTAAATTATATTTTATCTACTATAGCCTTTTGTGCTAGATTTATGAGAGTCTGTATATACCAAAGAAACATATTATGCAACAAATAATTTTGTGTGTATTTGAAATAAGCAAACAAACAAACAAACAAACAAATTAAAGCAAGTATGAGTGTTAAATTTTTTTTAGAAATTGACAATTGAAAAAGAATTGTGGACACCACTGCCCACTAGTACAAGGGTTGTACAGGGTTTAATTAGACAGATTCTTGAAAAACCAGTTTTCTCAAAAGTACAGTCAGCGCCAGAAATTGATGCCTTACCATTAGTAATGGTAGGTTATACTAGTCACAAGATCCACAAAATTAGTAAAAATCTTGAGATGTCATCGTGACCGAGCTCTGCTATTCATTATTTCGACTTATGAACATATCATTGCAATAACCTTCCTTCAAAGAATTTGAAACGAAACCTCAATCAGGGGATCCCAATCAGTAAATAGTTGCAACATGCAATTTCCAACCTCTATATTGTCGATAATGTCTTCTTATACAATTTGAAATGTCATGCCCTAAACTTACCTTGGCCTGTTAGTGGACAGCCAACCACAATGGCCCGTTGCATGAGAACATACAAGGCTGTCTTGGCCACCTTTTCTTGACCTTTAGAGCCTGTCTCTGAGCCAGAGCCCTTGATGACAGCTTCTTCAACAGCAGGCGCAATAGCATGGTTCCATAGCAGACTCAACCACCTGGAAATTATAAGAGTTATAAAGTGTATAATGAATCCCTTAATGGCTAAATTATTATGATTGAGTGTGTATATTTAAATAACTTTTTGAAAAATCAGATGGATTCTTAAAGCATCAGGTCTAAGAGGTCACAAAATACATGAAGCTGTTAATATGGTTCATGACAACATATTTCAAAGAATTAAAATACTTTCCCAATTCAAGGTCAGGGAGAAGGGGATAAAACCCTATTTAATTAGGTGATCGGAGTTTCCTCTAAATCTGAAATATCTGGTTTGAAAGGCATGGTATGATCATTAATAAATATGCTCAACAGATGTATAAGGAGAACTTGAAATGTGTTGTTTATAGCAGTAGGAGATATTTCACGGTAAGGGGTTGTACTTGTTGCACGCAAATCAACATCTTGACTCGTTTATGTTATTACTTTCGATTAAAGGAAAGAGGAAGGGGGGTTTAAGACAATTAATTACATTTTTTGACGGACACTGAGATATTGACTTAGTCCCTTTACGGTTCAGGATAAAACTCCCCATGAAAAGGTATACAAAATTTCTGGATCCCAATAGCTCCCCTCCCTCCAAAATGTGTTTATACATTGATCACAGTAAAAATGTAAATTTGAGAGTGATTTACATGAATCTGATTTATATTAGGACTTGATGATGAAACTTCAAGTAAATCAACTTTTCAACAAAAAGAGCAAGCTTTTGCACTAGAAATTACAAAAAATAGAATACAAATACACGGGTTCCACTTGAACAAGGCACCAGGCAATTTCCTATTTGTTCTACTGAAATCGCCTGTTATTGTGAGAAATGTTGCAACTGTTTCAATGTTAAATCATAATTTCCAATAAATTTGCCTTCTGTTTTCATTCTTTCTGCTGTTGTCAGTAATTTTAATAATAAAATCCCTTGAATAAAACTTGACACTTCAGGACATGCAACTTGATGTAACCAGTGACATAAGGCAATGAGCCATGTGAATGACAAATGAGCCAAGTGAATGACAAATGGTGACACTGACTGTTGATCAAGCTGACAGACAACATACTAGCAATAGCTAAATTGTGAAAAATTGTCACACAGGTATAATCTTTGTTTTCCTTCCCCTTACTCCTTATGTATGATTTTAATTAAATAAGGATAACAAAGTTAACATAGGCTTATAAAAATGATTTAAAGACAAAATACAATCCATGGGATCTAAAAGGACTTTAAAAGTTGCATTTGCATTGTTGGATCGTGTATTCTATGTCGATAGTGAATACCTTTTGTAGCATATGCCAATTCATACCTACTTAGATTTATACCTTGACTACTTAGATTTATACCTTGACTACTTAGGCTTGGAACTTAACATGTAATGAATATGTGCATTGTTCATTTTGAAGTATCTCATATCATGTTTAAATATTTAGTATATGAAGTATAGAAATGTGTTTGTAGTCACTGCAAGTTGGTATGTTGTGCTATATTTTTTTAGCAAATAAGTCTTTTTATGAGCTTGTGTTTGTTTTGCTTGTACCTTCCATAGTTTTGATTTTGCAAGGTGTAACACAACTGCTTAATGGCCTAACTAAGAAACTCTAAACTGATTTTGAGATTCAACAGGGGTGTCTTATGTGCTCAGTTCTTGTACTATGATAATATCACATTCTGGTATGCCACTGAGCCCCTCTTATCTGCTGTTTGCGAGACCACTTTGGAAGGATAAAGACAAAATGGGTGCGGTTATCGCGATGATTATATCATGTTCCTGTATAGTATGTGTATACACAAACTTTAAAGCTTGTAATTTAATTTGAGGTTGAAAACGGGATGGAGATGTTTGTAATAAAGAAACCAATTAAAGTGTTATCACAATGATGTCATAAACAGGATGAAACACAAGACGGCCGCACCAGTTCCTGGTGACTTGACAGTGACACGCTGTTCCGACTGTTACCATCGTAAGATGGACAGCTGCAGTGACTAAACGTTTCATTTTGTTATTCCTCAACATCAGTTCTGATGACATAACACACAAACTGTAATTTGTCACTGTAATTTGAGGAAGATTAGATCATATCATCTTAAAGACAATGGAAAAGATAACAAGGCATTAACATGACAAAATGTCACCATCTAGTTGCTCACAATAATATGAGTTCAATCTAAGTCAGATTTAAACTTCTGAGAACTTGAAGATGATTTTGAAAAAATAATTGGTCAATTCGAAGCAAGTTGAAAAAAGAGCTTTTTGACGCTTTTTGACCTTGAGGTCATTGAAGGGCAAATCTCAAATCTAAAGTTAGATTTGAACTTCTGAGAACTTGTAGACGATTTTGAAAAAAAATTTGTCAATTTATTGGAAGTTGTAAGAATTTGTTACAGACACCAATTGCCGGATGCAAACCACCAACCACCACGTGACTTTTGGTGGTGGCATAAAAAAACAGTCTAAGGAGAAATGCTAGACCTCAAAAAACAATGCAATATCTGTATGGTCATATATAATCTTCTGTGCTGGAATCTGTTATACATTGGCCCCTAGATTGTAAATATATTGTAAACAGTGTCATAAACAACACTAAATTAACCAATTTATTAATTGATGTTTACACAGTGAAACAGAGTATTTTCTCAATGAAATCTTCTAACATGAGATTCTCTAACTGTAATTGGAGTTTTCATAATTCATTTTCCACTCTCTATATTTCTACTTTCAAACTATATGAAAGTTTTCTATATTTCAATGTCAAACTATATGAACATTTTCAATTTTTTGCTTATTAGTAAATATATTTCTACATCAGGAGGAATGAGATATCAAAAACAAATATGAACATTTAATGTAAGAATGTATCAAATGGATACATTATACTGCACTGACATTCACTCCATTATACAAGTATGTGTTACACTGCATTCCTTTATTAATCTAATATTGCAGAAAATATATATTTCTTATACTTGATGGTTTGGATGTAAACGTACCTGATGATTGTCTTTGGTTTATTCACTTCTATTGGACAATTCATAAAGACACTGGGACCGAACACCAGTTCAGGAAGTCCCAGTTTCCCAAGTCCTTCATTGAGTCTCTGCCATACACCAATCACCCACTCAACAGCCTTATATACACCGTCCTCAATAGGTGGCAGTGTACCACCAAAGCGACTGAGCAGCCGACGTGATAAATGGCGGGAAAGAAGATTTTTCATAGGTTCAGTGTCTATTCGGAAGTGCACCCAACGAAATCTTTGCTGTATTGAAAGTTCAAGGCCTGTGGAGCGTGATCTGTCCATTGTTCCGATGATGTAACAATTGGTCAGCAGGTAGTATAGACCCTCGGGTTTACCATCTGAATGTTATAATAGAAATTTTTAATTTATGGAGAATTATAAGGAATTGAAAAATTTCGAACATATTTGGGTGATAAACATTGCAGTTAAAAAGGCATTCATGGCTAGAATTTCAATGAGGAAAGTTATGTTAAGGTGTGACCAACCATGCCTTAAAATGTAAACCCTTATGACATGAATACGCCTGCTTGATTATATATGATACTGTTACTGAACAAGAAGTCAAAACTCTTATATTACACCACTAAGGGACCACAAATATGTAGCCATGTGCAATGATATCTCAATCAAAAATCAAAACAAAACTAAACCTGCTTCAGCAGAAGAAAATGTAATGTACCTATTTTTAACTGGAAAGAATTCTCTGGGCCTCTGTGTTCCAAACCATTGAGAACATCTCCAAATATTTCCGATATATTTACTTTGGCCAGCTCATCAAATAGCAGCACTGGCGCCCTCTTTGTCGGCATCTTAAGGTGGTTTGGAAAAAGACAACCTTTAAGTAGAAGAAGTACAAATGTAAATAAATAATAGTAAACAGGTTCCAGTGAAGTTTGACATTTTTCCAGTTTGACAAAAGTATTAAACAAACTGTTTTATAGGTGTTTTTACTCATGACATATTTATTCATTGCATCTTCTTACATTAATTCAGGCACATGTATTTCAGAGGGAAACAAGTTGTCTGAATTCAGACAGAAACATTAATTAGCTAAACATATAGTGTATTTTATACTTGAATATTCTGTGTCTGAATTCAGGCAGCGGCTTTTCCATATTAGAAAACAGAAGCTGATTTCAACTGTCTGAATTCAGACACAATTTGATAATAGTAAGATGAATTTGTTTATCTTATGTGTTGTGTCTGAATTCAGACAGTGGAAATCAGTATCAATTTTCTCAGATTGAAATCTTGTCTGAATTCAGACACATAAACAAATTCATCTCACTATAATGAGACTGTGTCTGAATTCAGACATAGGCTTTTCCATGTTAGAAAACTGATTCAACTGTCTGAATTCAGACATGGACTGATCATAGTGAGGTGAACCCTAATTAAGTTATGCAATGTTGCATATGACCACATTATCCATACTTTTCTGACAGAAATGGATGTAATATACTCTAATTCACATCAAAGTAATTAGAAAATAACAATTTCTTTTTATATATGGTTCTCAGTGACAGTTCTCATGGTTTAATCTACTGTACATCATTACAAAATGTGTATGTTCAACCTTAAGTTCATCAAATTGTATGTCTGACTACTTTAATAATATATTTCAGCACATATTTTTGAGTCCACTCAGTACATACAGAAAAAGTTGTTAAGTTATTCCATTCCATTTCATTTGATTTTTCATTTATTTGATCCTTTTAACTTAGAGATGTTAACGTACATTCTGCATCACATGATTGAAGCTGATTTAAAATTGATGAACTATTTACAATCAAATTCTTTTGTTAATAACTATTATGATACTAGTATAGTAACTATATAGTAAATATAAAAGGTATAATATACAACGTACAACCCAAGGGAAAAGTGAACCATGTCACTTTCACTTCATTTGATAGATATTTGACAATTTGTAGCTGTCAAAATACTAGATTAATAGTATTTATCTGTGTGTCTCGAATTGTGGCGGGGGTGTCAATGTTTTTTTAATTTTGTTGTAAGTTGATCTTATTTCTGATTTGTTGTGGGATTCAATTAATTGGACTGTGTTAAAGCGAATGCTTAACTTCAATTTTAAGTTCCCTGTCAATAGTCATGGTTCAGTAGATGCCATTGGATATAAAGTTTGCCGTGTCCAATTGATATCCCGTTAAAAGTAAATTTTAATGTCCAATTTTCACAACCAAACCAATCTTCACTGCTTCACCAGGACTCATTCTATATCCTACTATGTATTCCACCTCAAACTTCTGTCTTATTTGGCGGGGTCTCTGGTTTCCCCCTGATTTAATGGACATTTGCTGGTTACAACCTGAAATAATATAGATTAAACAGTTTTATCTATGTTATCATGAAGACTCAACTTGACGGATGGACAGACAAAAGCAGACAGACACTCCTAATAATAAAGAAAAATAACAAAATAAGCGGGAAAATACCACACTTCAAATTTAATATGGAGTGTAATGGAATATAATAATTTGAGTGGAAAATACTTTTTAGACCATTATTGTGTTTTGATTCAATGTAATGCTCACCTTTTTCTGCAGACCTCGACTTTTTCGCCCTATAATGCTTAATCACTTTCTTTTTTGACTCATGTGTATGTCCTTCTCATATAGCCATGAGAGTTTGACCGGATTTTCTGAAATATTAATTATCAGTCTATCAATGTCAAGTAAGAATAAGTTAATTAATAAAGTAGAATTTAAAACAAACAAAATTTTTTTTAAAATTAAATATACATTTTGATGATGGTGTTACATACTTGCAATGCAAACATAGATTCCTTCCAATATATGCGAACTCTCTTTGTTATGTTCACTGACTTTTGTCACTTTGTATAGCTCGGCAAGTCAATTTTCAAATGTTATTGGCCCTGTTTCAAATGTTGGTACCTTAGTTGCCATCTCATATTTTCCAAGTTAGTTTTGCATTGTGTTTTCTACCACAAGTAAATGCATCCAGGAGTGTTGTCTTCATAAGATCTACATCTAAAGCCTTCTCTTTTCTAATATTAGCGGTTCTGCAAAATAAACAGTGCTAACATATTATTTGACCTCACAGACTTGACGTTTTTGTCTAATACAAGATTAAAAAACCATAAGAGTCATTATAATATTTTGAATTCTCATATTAAGCTGTCACCCAAGGAGGATTGGAAGCCAGGGTTCCAACTCAATATTCTTTAATCTCCAATCGATGCGGTAGTTTCCGATCCTGCCTGTATATTTCTACGGCTGCCAGGAGAATGGCTGATATTCTTTATTGAATTTTGTATACATAACATTGCTATGTGATACCCATATTATGAAACAGAATATTGATTGGCGTCGGAGGAAATCCTCCTTGGCTGTCACATTAGTTATTTATGAAGAAATGTTTATTATTTAGGGTCTGCCTAAAAAACAGATGACTGGGTAGCCGGTGACTCAGGGTACCTAATGTGTCTAGCAGGGTTACCAACTTTCAAAGTTGGACATTTTCCCCTAATATAGTAGCAAATTGACATGATAGCCCCAGCCTCCTAAGTGTAAACTACATTATCTTTTTATCAAAAACCTACCAGAGACCAAACACTTTTTGAATAATCGACTATTTTTTCAATATCAGAATACCTGGAAGGCATAAAATCAAATTCTAGCCCTGCTAAGAATGTTACCAAGTCACCTGGCAACCCGGTTATCCAGTCACCCCAATTTTACACAAAACCTTTAATTCTCCTCTCAAGCTTAACCCTCTTCTAAATTATTTTTACATCTTTCTATCCTACTCTGGACTTAAAATTATGATAAACTGATAAATTGACTTACCAAATTCACAATTCCCTGTTGATGTATCTGCCATACTGTACATAAGCATGTTCCAATAATCCAGTGTTTAACTGTTTAATTCAGACTTCTTTCTTCAAAATGTTAATAATTTCTAATATTGTCTGTTAAACCTGTTTCCGCCAAAAATTTGAATGGTTGTAACTTAAATCCCTTCTTTCATTGGATAGTGTAAAGTTTGGGTGAGTCTAATATTTCAAAAAGGGTACACAGTGATTCAATGGACTGATCTGAAAGCTTATTCCCTAAGTGCTACTAACTGTATCTGTATGCAATATACACCACAAAAGTAACATTAACATCTTCAAACAGAATAATTTCCATTGGACAATTGATTATACAGTATACAAAAGGAAAATAACAAAAGCATGACAGTTGGAGAAATCCTAGGTGCTGGAAATTTGAAGAAGATTCTAGGATTTATTTCCAATATGTTGATGATAGCAGGGGTAAGTTATTTTTATTAAGATAGTTTTAAATACTTTTTGAAAAATTACATTTAATTTAAGAAAATCCAACTAATCTTAAATATAAAAAGAGATATTGAAGATTAGAATTAATGCGGATTATGTGAGCTTCCCCCTTAAACCAACTAGAACTTTTAAACCAAGAATGAATCACAGCCCCTTCAATGAATGATATTGGTTTATTTAAAACTGATGAATTTGAAAATTTTAGATGAATAAATCACTGGCCCTTCAGAGGGGAATAATAGTGCAATGCTGGTGGTCTTTCCTAACATGGACTCAACCACCAATGATAGGGTTAAATTACTGTTGCTGCAAAATGTTGATTATATAAAGCTATTTATAATTTACATTATTTTTTGTAGGAACAAAGCCCTACATGCATACATAAAATATATTGATTGTGAAGAAGAGTCTGCTACCAACATATGGATAAAGGTGAGTAATTAATTCTAACATGTTTATTTGCTTTGTTTTCTTAAAAACAATTTTCCTGGAATTTTGAAACAATATTCAACATTTTTCCCTTTCCTTTGGGGCCCACATCTTTCCTTGTGAAATTGACTCCTTACTTTTTAATCATTATAAGTTCTAGTTCAGTGTTCCATCTGTACTTTGTTGCATTAGCCCATATGATGTAGATACTTTGTTTTATGTCCTGCTTTAAAGTCCAAATTACACAATGGCACAGGGAAAACAAACATTATCACTTGTTTGCTGGGAAATGTATATGATAAATTGCTATATAAAAGGGTATGGTATTCCTATTTGCAGTGATTTCAAATACACATTTAACTAATCATGTACATTGGTACATGTGGCATGCAGTATGTTTCAAAGATATTCATAGAAATAAAATGCTCAACTATTCAATTGATTATAATTAATCCAACCTTATTGATAATTAACAAATCAATTATATTTTAATATCAATCTCAGTGAGGTAATTTCCCAAAATTTTAAAGCAGGTAATTTTATGATGAAGTAAATGGGTCTTCACATGCAGTATTACTCTGAACAGATTTCTCATTAAAATTCAGAGTATACCCTCACAAAAAGACAAAAACAGATGATTAAATAAAGGAAAAGGAAAGCAACAGAAATTAACAAAACAGTTTAATTACTTATAGTATGAACCTAAAAGTTAATTCATCACTTTTGTTTATTTTTTTAGTGAATATTTGTTGAACATCTTTTAAGAGCAAATTCTTTGCAATTGAGATGCATATCTAATAACCACAAATTGCACAAGCATTTACACTGCCATATAATTGAATTTGATATCAACTACAATGTTTAACTCCTTGATATTATGACAAATTCCATCTGAAATTCACAAAACCACTTAGCGATTTCTTATATAATATAGCACAACAGATACTTATCCATTTCTATAGCATAACATCTTTACACAAAAGCTAGGCATTTCAATAGGTTGAGATCACTCAGTTGTGAACCGCATATAATAAAATCAACTTCTAGATTGAGTTTCGTGATTTAAGTTTGGAGAAATCTGATGA